CTTCCCGCTAAGTTTAAGTCTATGCTTGTTCCTGGAAAGATCCAACATATCATCTGTACTGGTAACCTCTGCATTAAAGTGAGTCTTTCTCTTCCCTTTAATTCATCCGAATTAATTAGTATTAGTTGGCCGATTAAACTAAGAAAATGCTGTTGCTAAAAATTAATGTTGTTGCATGTATGTTTTTTTTGCTATACCTAATGGGCTATTTTATAAAACTAAAGGCAACAGCTGTTTAATGTTAGCTATTGTTTTCCAATATTTTTGCAAGCATCAGCAATGTTTTAAAGGATAATTTTTCTGCAGATAATAGTTTGCCTTTAGCAGAAATATTTGTTTGATTTCTTTTCCAGGGATGAATTCAGAATTTCAGATTGAGTAATACATAGACTTAATTAACAGAAAATTTAAAAGTTTTTGAAAGGGAATGGCAGATAGGTTGTTATAGCTAGAGATGCATGTGTCTTGAGCACTGAGCAGCATATAAGGCTGTTTTGAATGGCTTTAAAAAATCAAAGGAGCGGTGTAGAACAAATAATGCTATTCATGTCTCGCCAAGGGCAATGAGTTTATATTTCTTCCCCAAGACAAGGTACAACTGTTGGGAAGGGGACATGATCAATAGAACCTGGCTGGATCCGGGCTGGGATAGTGCCGCCCATTCTTAACTAGTTCCGAAAGGGGACAGGATTCGAACCTGCAATCTTCAGGTCATGAGCCTGATGAGTTGACCAATTCCTCTACCCCGCATTCTCTTTCGAACTCCGAAAACCAAGGTTCGACTTGCATGTGTTAAGCATATAGTCTGAGTAGCATGATTGGAGGTTCTTAGCGCTTAGGCCATTCCAGAGGAAATGAAAGAATTTATGGTAGCAAGTATCAAAAAATTTCAAGAATTCATTTTGGATGGGCTAATATTCCCTCTTATATGCTACCAACTATAACTTAAGTAGAAAGATCCCATGTTTTATTCCCTATTCATGTTTATTATATAGTTATTTACTTTTATAAGTTACCCATTGATGTATCCTATGGCTTGTATATAAAATCTTTTGTTCAAGCATTTGTGTAAGTGAGGGGTAATGGGTAGTTAGTTGTCTAAACTCACTCTTTAAATGTCATAACTGGATATAAATGTGACCGGATCTTTTTAATTGAATAACCTTTTGAATCATAATTCTTTTAGATTGTGCTTGCTTTGGCTTGCATTTTTTCTCCATAATAAATTCTATTTCCAATAGTTTAGCATTAGAAATCCCGTGGCTGTAATTCCTGGTTGCTGCAGACTTATTACTTTTAACCTCGGCATTATTTTGTTCTCTCCTAAACCCTATAATTTTCTTTCTATTAAACTGTTTAAAATAAAACAAAGAAATTTTCTGCAAATCATTTTCTGAAAGCTTTGGTTTTTGCCCATTACTCTACATAACCTCAACTTTCAAGGTTAAACTTATTAGTTGCTTATGCGTGAGGGCAAGTATCTTTGATGTGGTTTGTACTTTTGGCAGAGATATTCTACTGTTAGAGCTGTAGTAGAATAAGAGAGGTAACTTATATCTGTCCCATTGCTGTCAAAGGATTTGATGTAAAGCGCGAAAGTGCCTAGCACAAAGAACAACCTAAGCCATGAGCTTTATTGTTTAAGCATGCTTGAAATGATGCCTTTGAAAACACTGTTCTATGCTGTGCGCTTGTGGAGAAAAATTGGAGATACTAAGTGTCAGTTCTGTGTTATAAGATCAATTTATCATTGCTTCTTGTAATCTGAAATAAAAAATATGCAAGTCAAGATAATGCTTATTTTGGAGTACTTAGTCATTTGGCATATATCTTTCAGTTAACCATGTGAAGTATAGAATGAAGACCTTGCTCCTTGGTTTATTTAGGAATTCTTTCCGGTGAAAAGGTTTATCTATCTATTTAGGAAATTCAAATGCATTTACTCCATTAATACTGTTTTATCTCCGGGCTACTTCCACAAGTGTGCTCTAATTACACATAGTGCATCTAAGTTGTATTAAGTAACTTGCCCCCAGGGCCTAGCTCAAGTGGCAAAGGGTGGTGGATTTGTGTCTTAGGTCACAGGTTCAAGCCCCCGCACCATGCAAAGCAAAGCCTGGTATTTAAGTGGAGAAGGGTAGAGGGGCGGGCCCATTATCCACCGAGTTTCGAAGGCTGCGGTTGGTCCAAAGGATCGGCCCCAGACGGATTTCTCGGTCATCAAAAAAAAAAAAAGTTGTATTAAGCAACTTCTAGGAATAACCACTCCAACAATTTGTGTGATATATTTTGCCTTAACAATTTTGTTTTGTTTATTATTCCCAAAATACATATTCCATTCACTGTGGACATTCATGTTCTAGATTGTTTGGAATCCAAGTCAGATGTAGGTTTTCTATAAAAATGTATTAAATACCTTATACAATTTACATCTGCAGGAGGTTCATGATTACTTAAAGACACTTTGTCCTGACTTGCATATTGCTAGAGGCGAGTATGACGAGGAGACACGTTACCCCGAGACCAAGACGCTAACAATTGGTCAATTTAAGCTTGGATTATGCCACGGCCACCAGGTCTGACTCACCATTCTTTCTTGTCACTTGCTGTCCTACTTTAAGCTGATGAGGCAAAACATTTGGGTTATTCAGGTGGTCAGAATTCTTGTCAGGGATAAACTTAACACCTAAGTACTCTTTACTAAGTGGTGTGGTATGTATCAGATACATACGTATTAACATGTACCCTGCCTCTCTGCGAATTTTTGTGATTTTCCATGGCTTCAGGTTCTTATGTATGCCTTGTTCTATATATAAGTGCTTACGACAAATTTACCTGTTCATCTTGTTAAGAATGTTTGCTAGTATGTCATTATAAGAGTCAATTTACTTGCAGTAACATTCTTGCTTAGCATGAAATTGAAGTTTTGTTGCATTTTCGTGATCCGAAGGCATTTATCTTGTACTGCCAAAAAAGCCCTGCCGTATTTTCATGGGTCTTTCCCCAAGATGTAACACAATGTCTCTCCAATATTCCCACAACTAACTTAAAAGAATACAACAACATACCCAGTATTATCCCACTACTAACTTAAAAGAATATTATGGCTAAATTTGTACTCTATCTTGGTCGCTGCACTCATCTCTCTCTCTTTTTGACCCACTATCTCCTTTTTTGGTCTGTTTTAAACTTTTTGCTTACAAATTTTTTAGAAAGTCTTCCACTTCTGAAATTTTTGGCACTCCAAACTGAACTAATTATATAAGAATTATGTGAGAAATATGCTTTATCAAAAAGAATTATGTGAGAAATGCTTAGTCCTCAAAGCGTGCTGCCCTTTCTATTCGTAATTGTATCTTCCACTTGTTTTGGTCCTCCAGGTTATTCCATGGGGTGACTTAGACTCATTAGCCATGCTTCAAAGACAATTGGATGTAGACATACTTGTGACTGGCCATACACATCAGTTCACAGCCTACAAACATGAAGCAGGGGTTGTTATAAATCCAGGATCTGCTACTGGTGCCTACAGTAGCATCACATATGATGTCAACCCTAGCTTTGTTCTAATGGACATTGACGCCCTGCGTGTTGTGGTCTACGTTTATGAACTCATCGATGGAGAAGTCAAAGTTGACAAGATTGATTTCAAGAAGACAACAACACAGAATGCTAATTGAATAGCATAACTTGAAATTCAGCTGATTTTAGTGGAATCCTAAAGTCGATAAGACATTATATTCCTCTGTCTGCTTGTTTCTGAGGCTTTTTCGGCTGTCTTTGTTCTTTATTTTCCTGTTGCTTCTGACTATTCAGGTTTATGTCCAGTTACTTGAGTCAGTGTGCATTGAGAATTCAGTTGGTTAATTGGAAAGTTTTCTGGGGGGAAAAGAGGGGTTGGAAAAAGTCCACTATTTATTGTGCTACTAAATTCCTTTTTTTTTTTTTTAATATTTAATTTTGTCTGTTTGCTGCAAGTTGATAGATTGATTGTGGCTTTTGCAGCGACAGCAAAGTAGAAACCTTAAAAATATGCATAAATCTTTATATTAATCCTCTATCTTGAAATTAAACTTTACTTATCGAAAGGTTCTCTATTCCCAGAATCTGGAGTAGTTAAAGGTAAAGGGATCTATTACCATTTTACCACATCCCTACGGTGGTTACCTTGAAATTAGTTGCTGCAACATTGTGCCTGACTAGCTAGCTTTTCAGACAAACCTGGTAGACCGTTGAAGAGGCTCCTTTCGGGGTTGATTGGATAGGGGTCAATTGGTTTTGTGGTTCTTTACAAACTTCTTATTAGTTTTATGACCCTATCTTTTTTTTTACACATGGAAGATTTGCTTTTATACGTAAGAGATCTGTCTTTTACATATAAGAGATCTAAAAGGTCATTTTCTTAATTTTAAAATTATAAAGGGACATAATGTACAAATATGTCCACTACAAACCCCAATGAAATGTTACTGGCACTCGGCTGCAGTGTCTCATAAGGTGAATTAAGCAAACATGTGCGTCTTAGAATTCAATTCACTGGACTGGACATTCTATGTGTAACCTTTTCACACCCCAATTAACGACTAATGCATGACCTCTTGATTAATCTTAACTATCGCCATTTGTTGAACCAACGGACACGACTCAATTGTATATATGCATTGAGCTAGAAATGTCTAGGAGATGGGATGCCATTGCCATTGTACTAGCAGCCACTCGTGTCCTTTGTTAGAGAAGACTTAGAGAAGGATAATACAATACTATCGATTATGCCAAATATGAATCTCGATTTAGATATCAGTGAATCAACAACAACAACAACAACCCAGTAGAATCCCACAAGTAGGGTCTGAGAAGGGTAGAGTATAGTATTTGCATCGTAGCGTATATTATGTTGTCTGTGAATTTTATTAACGAGAATAGCACGAGTTATGTACTGCTGCATTGGAAAGCAAGGCATAAAGTACATCTAGTTGAAAAATAGAATATAATCAGAGAAATATGAGATAAATTGGTCACTCAGAGCTACTTTTTATTTATTAACCCCAGAATAAAATGCTAATATAAATGGAAAACAAGGTGTCGACTATACCATAACCATGAAGAAAAAAAAGGAGAGGGGAAGAAATAAATAACTAAACAACCCTAGTGTAGCAATCTTAGAACTTCCTATTAGGCAGTGAACCTATAAACCATAATGTGCTTATAAGTTTCCCCTGGATTCACAATCTGGGAAGGAAAATTGGGATGATTAACAGAATCTGGAAATCCTTGTGTCTCCAAACAAAGTGCAGCATACTTTGAATAAACAAATCCACCTTTTCCCTTAGCATTTTCCAACATATTACTTGTGTAAAACTGCACACCAGGTTTATTAGTCCACAATTCCATCTTTCTACCTGATTTGCTTTCTTGAACAATTGCCACCCTTTGTAAATGTTTTCCCTCAGTATTATCCAACACATAGTTGATATCGTATCCGCCTGCTATATCACTGAACTTGCTCCCTATTGTTCTTGGCTTGAGGAAATCATAGGCTGTTCCTTCAACCGGAGTAATTTGTCCGGTAGGGATCAGCTTATCATTGACAGGAGTAATCTTTGACCCGAAAAGCTGAATAGCGTGGGAGAAAATGTTGCCGCTGGTGTGTCCACCAAGATTCCAGTAAGTGTGTGATGCTAAATTGATTGGTGTTGCTTTGTTTAGAGGCGTTGCTTGCATGTTTATGGCTAACTTGTTTGTACCAATGAACATGTATTTCACCTTGACAGAAAGGTCACCAGGAAATCCTGTTTCACAAACATTTGATATTCAAAATTAGTCTTGGAAAATTTGTGCTTTTAGTCACAGATTTTGATTTTGATCCTTGTGATTTAACATTCACATAATTGAACTTGTGCACATGTGACTCCCATACTAGTGAATCTTCAAAAGTTCACTGAACAATTAAGTGTTAAACAATTTAATTACATGTGAAATTTGCACTATTTTGAAGGCAATATATAGCCTATTTGGCCAAGCTTCTCCATGGCCAAAAAAAAAATGCTTTTTTTGAAAGTTGAAATGTTTGGTGGAAAAAAACTGCTTCTCACCAAAAGTAAAAAGTACTTGTAAGGAAAAACACTTCTCAAAATAAGTTTTTTTAGAAGTTTGGCCAAACATGCTAATAGTCTTAAATAATAGGAACAAATTTCTCATATATAGGGAACAAATATGCACAATTTTGATTAATTGAAGGTTAAATATTTTAGCCTAATATCAACAAAGGGGATAATTAATGTATACCTTGTTCACCATCAAAGCTGTTGTAGGTAAGAGTAAGATGACTATCTTCTTGATAATCTTCCACTGTCCATATCACATCACTGAATCCTTTGCTTCCCCCTGATTTAAAACGAATATGTTAATGTTAATCAAGTGAAAAAAACATTAAAATTAAAAGGATGAAAATTGAAAATTACCATGGAGTGTGTTTCCATGATCATTAGCTGGTAACTTGTATTCCACACCATTCAACTCAAATTTTGCTCCTCCAATTCTGTTAGCCACGCGCCCAATAAGGCCACCAAAATATGTGGTGTCGTTCTACAAATACATTAAATAAATAACCTTAATCAAGAATCAAACATACAAAAATTCCAGATCTTTTACTATATTCTGGGAGATTTGGCCTCATAAAAACATTATAAAAAATGACCCATATAACTTAATGGGATACAAAAGGGATCACAGAAACTAACCTTGTAGTCATCAATTGAATTGTACCCAAGAACAACATCATCCAATTTTCCTTAAAAACAAATAACAAAAATGAGTGTTATAAACAAAAAGATATGAACTTGACAGTCATATAAATATAAGAATGAAACAGAGAAGTTGGGGGGAGAAGTATACCATTTTTATCAGGGAGTATGACAGAAAGAACTGTTGCACCATAGTTTGTGATCTTCACAGAAAAATCACCCTTTTTCAACTCATACACTTTTATTTCTTCTTCTTCTTCTGCTTTACATGGATTTCCAAGAATAAGAATGAAAAGAGCAAAACAATAAAGAAGAGAGGTTTTGGCCATTGTTGATGGTGACAGAGAGAGATGAATCAAAGATGAGTTTGCGTTGGATGGTCTATAAATAGTCGTAGGTGAAATTGTTAAATGACAAAAAACGGTGGAAATTTAATAAAGGATTTGGGAAATTCAGATAATAATGTTGATAAGGAAAGATATTTGAATAGTGTGGATAACGACAAATATTCTAATAGAGACAGTAGTAAAGACGTATTAGGATTTTAGAGCAAGTGTGATGCCAGATTCTCCATTATTTTATGTAGTACTATTTGTTAGCTAAAATTATAAATAGCCAAAAGAATCTTTTTCTAACTGAAAATAAGTTCCTCTTTCTCAAGTGAGTAAAATCCTCACATCTTAGGGTTGTTTGGTGTGAAGGAAAAAATATTTTCCAATTTTCTCATGTTTGGTTGGCTTAAATGTTTTGGAAAATATTTTCCTTATCAATTCATTTTCCTTATCAAGAGAAGGGAAAACATTTTCCAAAGCTCCTTCTCAACCTTCCCCACCCTCACCAACACAAAAAAGGTTTTTTTTTTTTTTTTAAATTTCAGTTTTTCCGTTACCACCCACACTACTATCCCACCCCCATCCTGCAAAAAATAATATTTTTTTATTGCATTCAAATTTCTGTTTTTCCGTTTTTCTGCACCCCCCCCCCCGGTCCCTGCCCCTTCCCCCCCCCCCCCTCCCGGAAATTTTTTTTTTATATATTTTTCAGTTTTAGTCCCCCACACCCCCCCCCCCCCCGAAAAATATTTTTTATATAGTTTTTCAGTTTTAGTTTTTTTATTTATCGGTTTAAAGGTTAAAAATTTTACAAGTTCCAAAGTTATGAGTTCGGATGTTTATGTGTTTGGAAGTTTACGGGTTTAGAAATTATTAAGTTTACGGGTTAGAAATTCCGCGGTTCGAAAGTTTAGCGNCCCCTCCACCCCCCTCCCTACCCCCCCCCCCCCCCGCCGCAAAAAAAAAATCAAAATTTTACAAGTTCCAAAATTATGAGTTCGGAGGTTTATGTGTTTGGAAATTTACGGGTTTAGAAATTAATAGTTTACGGGGTCGAGATTCCGCTGTTTTGAAAGTTTAGCGGTTCGAAAGTTCATGAAATTTGTGGGTCCGGAAGGTTGTTGGTTTGAAAGTTTATGGCTTCATGTTTATTATATCTAAATTATTTATGAATACTCTTGAGAAGTCATTTTCCTTAATTTGCGTACCAAACACCGGAAAATGAATAAGATTACTACTTGTTTTCCAAGAAAACAATTCCTTGGAAAACATTTTCCGCGGAAAACATTTTCCGTTATACCAAACACACCCTTAATGCCACCATTTATCATATACTTACTAAATAGGGATAATGGTATTTTTGGTTTCTCAATCTTTGATAAATTTTTAATTTTGGTCCTTGTAAAATATGATAAAGTATACTTAACCTTCAAATTTATTACTAAAATATATGTTTTGGTCTATTTATATATGAAAAATATTATACTTAGACTATTTTTAGAACTATATTATCCCCAAATATGGAGTAATAATACAAATTTAATATAACACATGGATAGTTTGATGAACTTGTAAAAGTTTCGAAGATTCACAAGCAAAAGGATTAAAAGTGCACATTTCAATTAATTGAAGGTTAAATGTGCTTAGCCACGTATCAAAAGAATCAAAATCAAAATTTGTCGGTGCCTGAGGACTAAAAGTGCTAATTTCCCTACTAATAAATAATATAGTTGGTAGTTGGTACATGTGAAGAAAATATTAAACATATATCTTTTCTTGAGGGAGTACGCTTTCATGCAAATCGGTATAGAAAAAAAGATATACTTTGAAATAACTCAAATTATGCACTCTTTAATTTTTCTAAGAAGTGATAAAAGTTGTAGTGATGATCTACTACACAATGCTATATATAAGTATTCTTTCATTTAGTTTAGGCTCAGTAGTCAGTCCATAATGGTTGTGCTATTTCTTTTCAAATATCGGATATTTGAAATGAACATTAACAGAAAGATAAGATGAAATATCTTTTTTTTTTTTTTTCCTTTTCTAGTAGGTGTTCAATTTATTGAAAGGAGACCATTCTTGTGGATTAATTCCAAGCACGAGCTCTGACTTCTTTTACGCTATGCAATTTAATTTTTCCACTTTTTAATTATTTTCCAAAATGTGGGACAGAAGTCAATAGGAGAAAGGATAAGATAAGTCAAGGGTATAGCAGATGGCTATTATACTTGTAAGATTCCAAATAAATATCCGTTTTCAACTCAACTTCAATAATTCTTTTCTTAATTTCAAGACGTGGTAGATCTACTATTCAATCCTTCAAATATTCTTTTAACTTTTTTTTTTTCCAGGTATTATCACTTTTAGCCTGCACTAGAAACTATTTATATTTGGTAGTCGAAAAAATGTATAAAATTTGTGCTCCCTACGTTTCAAATTAGACGAGATACTTTCCTTTTTAGTCTGTTCCAAAATAAATGATACATTTCTAAATTTGGAAATAATTCAATTTTAAACTCTTCATTTTACCCATTTTACCCTTAATGAGAAGTTTTTATAACTACAAAAATATCATGGCAGCCCCATAAAACTTTTACCCCTCAAACTTTTAAGACCACAAGTTTCAAAAGTTTCTTTTTTTTGCTTAAACTCCGTGCCGAGTCAAACAACCTCATCTAAATTGAAACGGGGGAGTATAATTTTTGTATATAACATATAAAATTTATATTGTAGACAATAAATTTGCGTCAAGAAAATAAAATCCAGACCGAAAATATCGCAACAATCGTAGTATTTTATTTCGAATATTTGAGTGTACAATCTCTATGATTCCTCTGATTCTACTTTTCAGTAGTAAATAAATTCAAGGGCATTGGAGCTTGATCTTGAACCTATATTTGTTTCCACGAACGATGATCTTGTTCTTGAGCTTGAGCTTGAGCTTGATTGCTTGAACTTGATCTTGATTCGTTCTTCGTTCTTGATCTTGAACTTTATTTCTTGAACTTGAACTTGATTGCTTGAAGCTTGAAACTTGATTGCTTGAAGTTCGTGGAGGAATTTGCGGTGTTTGATCCACGAGCTCTCTCTTGCTTCTTGTTATAACTTCTGGTGTCTTTTCTGAGTTATGAAAACCCCTATTTATAGTTGTGGAAGGGAAGAGTTGTGATAAGAACAAACTCTTTCCGACCAATCAAATTGAAGTATGACATGGACGCATTTGATTGGCCAGAACATGTCACTTGTACACGTGGCGCAATTTCATTGGCCTTTTAGTGTGACTTGGCATGCCTTGTCATTTTGACATGTGGCATGATCCTATTGGCTCTTCCGTTAGACTTGGCGCGCCACGTCATTTGACACGTGGCACCAAATTGGGCCTCTAGGAAGATGACATCTTGGGCTTAGTAAAGTGGGCTCATCACTTTAGCCCAATTAAATGGGCTAGCCCAATGGATCAAGACTTATTTATTTAATCCATATATGTTGGACCTATATAATTAGTTCATTTATATATTAGCCCATAATATTTACTTGGACCAATATATCTTGAATTTAAAATATAGTCCAAATTATTTTATGAATTTAATTTAAGTAAAATTTATATGCCTACAAATGCCCCCTACTTCAAGACTTGACGGAGTACCGGACCTTTGATGGCTAGGCTTGAAGTATTAACTTGATTATGGGATACACATTACATATGCCACAACAGATAATAGTGTATAGGGTCAAATTTGATCGTCAGCGTCTCTACGCCAGTGGGTACGCCTAGTGAGTGTACGCCGACTAACGTAGCGGGTACGACTCGGACGTGGGAACAAAAGCGACATCGTTTAGGACTCAGTGTCTTCACTAGGGAGACGTTACCTATTTTTGTAACTTTTTGATTATTTCGAGGAAGGTCTCTTATTATATAAGGGAGACCTTCACATTGTAAAGGGGAGGATTCTGGAATAATACAACTCTCTCATTTTCTGACTTTCTCTCTCTATCTCTGCCTCAAACGAACATATTCTCTTGAGTTCATATTATCACTTTGCAATACTAGATCTACAATAATAACATCATCTTTACATCTCTAGGTCTATTATATTTGATTACGATTTACCCTTTTCTTACTTTTGATTATTTTCTAGCTTACAAAGTATATTGTTAACTTTTGAGCCAAACAATTTGGCGCCGTCTGTGGGGATTTCGAGAATCAAAATCATAGTATCCACCTAGAGAACAACCAACTACCATTCTCTACACCACACAAACACAAAAGATGGCTGAGAATAACACAAGATCGAAAGCTATATTGGGTGTCACTACCAATCTCCTTGGCCCTCTCAACGAGGCCAGTGACGATGGCATCCTGAATGCAACCCCTAGCATCACATCGGGTGCGGAGATCTCACCTTCCCCATCCGAAGATCTGACGATCTTGCACGAAAAAGGAGCTTCCACATCTGCGGACACTGAAGCACCCTCAACGGTCAAGAAGCTACTGGAAAGATGGCTAACAAGCACTCTGAGTGGCTTGGTTAAGAGGTCACCACAAAGTAATATCAGGTGTACACCGACGGTAGATACCACTGCTGCCGTGGGCGAACCGGAAGTTGCACTAGCAAATAACGAACCCGTCGAGACACAGACCAACGATGGCACGCTAACAGCCATCCTAAAGAAGATGGAAGAAATGGAAAATGAAAACAAGGCGCTCCGCGATCAGATGAAGGAACATCAGGAAAGGGTCGACAAGATCCCCGGTGCTCCCAAGTTGCTACCAAAACGCGACGTGGGAAGGTTCGTTGAACAACCATACACTGAAGAAGCTGCCCCTCACTCCACCCCAAAAACCTTCAAGATGCCACCCTACTTAAGGGTATATGACGGAACCACTGATCCCGAGGATCATCTGATCCACTACGTCACCGCTGTGAAGGGCAACGACCTATCAAAAGAACAGGTACCGTCGGTACTGTTGAAGAAGTTTGGCGAGACGTTGACAGGAGGGGCTTTAACATGGTACTCTCAGCTATTGGCTAAGGCAATATCAACGTTCGAG